TTTGTGTAATCCTTTCCTCATTGATTTTCATTGGTTAATTTAATCTTAAGGTATAACGATGTGTTTATGATTTTATTTTTTTATAATGCAACGTAAGTACCGCTGGTGAAGCATTTGTATCGGTTTTGTAGAATGTCCGATCGAACTTTCCGAAGACGAGRAGACGGGGTTATTCTTTATGTGTTGCATGCGTTGTATTTATATAAGGAAAGTATGTATATACTCAATGCGTATTTATATATGAATATCACATCAACTCACATAATGTTGTATTTTATATTTAAGTATATTATGGAGATATTTTATAAAACACAATATAATTATACATTTAATGCCCAGTTCGTTTTGTTCATAATTTTAATTATTAAAGCCTCCAGAGACATGTACTTAGACAAATATTCCATTKTTTTTATCTATTGTGAGGATCTCGTGAATTTATACAGTATAATATCATTATTCCCAATGACCTATATACAAGTTATTAAATTACTTTAAAAAATGACTCAATTACTATATTATTACAAACTTCACTTTCTTATGCAGCAGTAGTMATTTTGAAAGCTAAAAGACATGTCAGAGTACRAAAAAAATAAAAACAAAAATCGTCCGTGGATTGATCAAGTAGGTAACTGTATTACCTAATAAAAGCTTTTTTTTTTAAATATCAAAAAAACATTTACCATTTACAAAATCATATCAATTTATTTTTCATTTTTATGTTGTATCTAGTTACACAGATCAAAATGTAGATCTATCTCTTGATGACTTYTTCCCTCATGCTTTTCATGTAAATAACGTAAAAAACAATAAATGATTATTGTGCTCTATTATGCACAGATTGTATATTTATTTTTAAAATAAAAATAAAAATAATAGAAAGTTTTATAAAATTGTACCATGTATTGATGTATATTGTATATTTTATTTTATTAATTKTACAATAATATGTCTTATTATATTTAAAGATTCAATCGTTCAATGAATTATATCGTAATACAGAAAATAAAGAAATGATCCCAAGAAAAAAACTGGGATGGGTCAAAGGCGTGTTGATTCCATGTCTACTCAACACCTGGAGTGCGATACTTTTCTTTCGGATGCCGTGGATGTTAGGACATGCTCCAATGTTTCATTCAATCATTGTTATTTTTCTTTCATTATTTA